AGCTGGGAAATTGGTTAGTTACAGGTTAGTTCTTCTTCTTCTTCTTCTTCTTCTTCTTCTTCTTCTTCTTCTTCTTCTTCTTCTTCTTCTTCAACAATCACCATTTCGGCTAGTTCGGATAATAACTTAAAAGAACTTGATATGTTTGGTAGCAATATCTGACGCATCCTTGTTTTCACGGTAGAAAGTGCCTGAAGAAAAAATGAATTTAAAAGTATAAAGTTTAACAGAGCAAAGCACATTCAACATTTAGTTTATAATGATGAGTTACATTTTGAATGATATATTTTTCACTGTTTATACTCTGTTCAGTCCCGAAACAGTCTGCAGCAGGGCAACGTGGACGGAGCTCGCCGTTTAGGCCGCAACGCCATGATTCTGTCTGTGGTCGCCATCTTGGGAGGGATCGCCATCATCGCCGCGGCCATCGCCCTCAACTGGGGATGTGAGTTACACGGAACACCAAAAACGACACAAAAACACAATTTAAATTTGAAATGACCGTATTGTTTTTTAAAAACTCAAGTATAAGTCACTTTAATTTGTAGTTAAATAAATGTAGTTAGTAATGCTGTCAAAATTATCGTTTTAACGGCGGTAATTAATTTTTTGAATTAATTGCGTTAAAATATTTAACGCATTTAACGCATGTGCAGAATGGCGCGCCCCATACATCCCACCAGTGGCAACAATGGGGTAGGCTACAGCCATATCAAGAAATGGCTTAGCCCCCACCATGAACAATGATGTTAAAGTAAGCAAAATAAAGTCCGCCAACTCGCGCCGAGTAAATTGCACAGACAACAATTAGTAAGATTGATTTCAGTAGCCACTTGTCTGGAAATACCGAAGACTAGAAACGGTTTTGAAAACTTTTGTCACGTAGTGATCGTCTTCTCAATAGAACATCTTTGATAATGTCTTCTGGCCAATCAGAATCAAGATAACGACGTGGTGTTGTTGCAGGAATTCCTGACGGAGAATACTTTTGCTGTAGTACATCTCTATATACATCGATACAACATTACGTGTTGATAGAAATCAACACGTAATTAAATAAGACCCCACGGTTTGATGATTGATAGGTGTGTGGGCTGTCTTTCATTTTGACACACAGAACAATGTTATAATAAACATACATAGGCCTACATACTGTATGTTAAATGGATATATCTGCCTTCTTTCATTTATCTTTCCATTCCCACAACAATATACATAAAGAAATGGCATATTTTGGACATAGTTCGAATGGTGATTAATCATGATTAATTAATTTTTAAGCTGTGATTAATCTGATTAAAAACGTTAATCGTTTGACAGCCCGAGTAGTTAGATACCTTTTACAATTGTATTAAAGGCTGTTCAGGAACAGGATCAGAGTACTATATTTATCTTGGCGGAAATTGCATTTTGTAACCATATAAAATGTAAAAATCGAATACATTTAAATAAAATAAATAAGTGAATAACAATTGAGAAGTTAAATTAAAATGTGCATGTATCTACTACTTCTACTGTACTACAATATGTAATGACAGCAAATCACAATATTTACAGTAGAGTAGTTATATTAATAATAATATGGTCAAGAATAACTCTTAAATATGTGTGACTTTCTGTCTTTTTCTCTCTGCAGTAATTTTAAAATCCTGATAAAAAAATAAAATAATGGCGACACCGACTGCACGACAACATCCGACCAACACGACTCCGTTTCCCCTCCCCGAACTTCCTGAATCATTTCTCCAGCGCCTGCACCAGATGAAAAACTAAATCTGTTCCCTGCTATTGTTGCTGCACGACGTCGACGAGCATGGACACTCCCCCGACACCCACGCCTCGATTTGGATTAGGAGAAAAGTGTGGGTCACCTGATGTTCATCTCACCCTGTGGTCCACAAGGACATCTGGGATATATGAGCCTCCATGCAACAAGTCCAGCGATGGTGCAAACCTTCTGATTCTTTTATGCCAAATATTTGAAGACTTGGTGTTCTTGGTGAACTGAAAGAGGGAATGCTGCTGCTGATGGTCCGGCATGAACATGAAGACCAACTTTAAGAGTATTCATAGAGAGAGAGAGACTCGTGTTTCATCATCCAGATCTTCCTGCTGCTGTTCATGGTGCACAAACATAAAGTCGACACACTCATAGAGAGTCCTGACGTCACAACTTAGCAGCTGTTTACTAAAACAACGTTCACGTTTTCTTCTCTTTCTGTATTCCAATATAAAGGAAACTGCTATCTAATACAGTTATAGGCCTATTCAAATATATACCATTAGTTGTTTCAACAAAGTGAAAGGATAAAGAGGGAGTTATCCCCGGTGTCATGCAGAGACCCAAACACAAATCCACAACACAAATATATAATAAAGTATGAGTAAAGTGTATGAGAAAAAAAACTGCATATGATATTTTGCGAAAAGCGTTTCCTCCAAAAAATATCCAGGAAATGATTTCAATTGAAAGTAGCTTCATCCACATCAGTCTTGGTCAGAAACAAGTTGGTTAGTTTTAGGTGAAGGGTGTAAAATAACAGAAGTTTTGATAACAAATAAATGAACATTGACTTCTGGTTTACAAGGGACAAAAATGACTGTGCATTATTCATACCAACGGCCACAAACAGTGTAGGGGAAAAGGCGTTTTGGGTTTGGAGATTCTTTTGTATTTGACGTTTTACATCTTTTTATTGGAGTTTTCTGCTTTCTTGTTGACGTTTTTCGGCTCTTTGTTGGCGTTTTATGTTTCTTCTTTGGCTTTTTGCGTATATTTGTTGAGATCTTGACTCACTTTGTGGCCATTTTGCGTCTCTTTATTGACAATTTGTATAACTTTTTCTGTGTTTTACGTCTCTTTGTTGGCATTTGCATCCCCTATTATTTCAAAGCATTCACATACAAGAGTATGTTAATTCCAAAAAGTTATTCTTCATTTTACGTGCATTCTCCTACAAATGTCCAGTAAAACAAACCGCTTGTTACATACATTTGGTACTCAAAGTAAAATGTTGTTTTCACGAAAAACCGAATGTTTAGGTTGAGGAAAAGATTGTGATTTGGGTGAAAACAACTACTGGAAGTGGTGTTACATGACTGTGGAAGTTACGTTTACAATTAAATCAACTTTGACTTCTGGTCCACCCCGACCTCCTTACCAGGAGGACTTTGTCAAAATTGCAAATTAATTTTCTGGGAAACTAACCAATTACAGTGCATTACTTTTTGTATAGATACAAACAACAACGCTGTGCCAGACACAGCTGTTGTTTCTGTTTCTTTCAATGTTTGTATGCTAATTGTGAACTGGGTGGGGGCTTTGAGGAAATAGGCTGTTGTTATGGATCTAAATCATCTCTTATAACCTGTGCATGTTTACAATATGTATAACAGAATGCTTTTACATAATACCGTAGCCTCATTTAACAAGAGCGCTAACTGAGCAGCACTTTGTAAATACATAATACGGGAATTGTGTTATGTCTACCTGGTGTAGAGAGGTGCAGGAATTACTTATTTGAGTGGTACAAACCTTGAATTGAGCATTTCCCTGGTTCCTTCCACAAAGAGCTAATTGGATATTTTCATTGGATTGTGGAATATTCCAGAAACAATTATCTGTGGAAAACCTACATTTAGGATACCTACAATTTTTTTTAGAAAGGATAATCTCCACATATTAATAGAAATTCAATCTCCAGAAGAAAATGTTATGAACAAAGTACGGCACGGTCACTTGACATCACCAGCGCCAAGCTAAAGGTGGCTAATGTTCGGCTGGATGAGATTTACTAGTCTCATTCAGCCACCTGTTTTCAACTGCGGTTTCAAAGACACAAAGAATCCTCAGAAATTGACGAGTAGGTTATATTATGACGCATTTAAAGTTGGAAGACTAAACGGTAAAATCTCTTTCGCATTTTTGAACCACAAACCTTATTTCAGGGTTCTGACCAAATGCACTTCCAGAGAAGGGATCAGGAAGTGCTAGAATGCTAACTCATTTCAGGGTTTGAGGACTCATTCCTGCAGCACGCTATTGATATCCAAATGTTTTCTCTTCCTTACGGATGTAACTGACCAACAAATAAATCCCCACCAAGATTGCACAAGAGGGATTTAAAAAAAAGAAGGAAGCAGATAAATGTTGAACTTTGCACCAATCAGAAGGCGTCTCTGCGTAGAGGTGAGGTCTGATGTGGTCAGGTTGGGGGAGGAAGGTAAAGTTGCCTCACATCTTCACACTGTATGTAGCATGTTTACTAACCACATTATGCAAAACAACGGTCCCGGCTTGATTGTCAGTACGAATGCTAGCTTCCCTCAGTTTATTGTGTACTTGTACACGGTTGTGTATGGACTTTGCTTGCGCTACCTCTCAGAGTTGCCTACAGTGTTTTATCACGTTGTTCCACTGATTTTAACCGACTGTTAAATCTATTTGTGTTCCTTTTTTCACTTACTAACATACTAATAATGGTATTAACATGAAGGGTGTTAAATGTGAACACATTCCCAGAAATCTGTAATTCAACTGGTACAATTTCTGTGACCAAAAAATATATGTATATAATAATACATATATTATATAATGATATATCTAATTTTACACATGAAATGAACAGTTCTGAGGAAGATTTTCAGCATGTATCATTTGTTTTGTTCCTTATTGGCCATTTTCCAAAAAGGATGCACATTCAATTACCAAGTGACATACAAATAATAATCATATCTACTTTTTAAAGTATTAACCCTGAGATGCATAAGTGGGTCCTTTTTTACCCGGTGAGGTGGTTTTCTTGAAGTATCTTTGTAATTGCATTTTTTTTATCATTTCATATTCCTCAAAAAACATGTTTTGGATATCATGCCATTCAAATTTTTAATTCACATTTGAAGAAATTGTAGTTTTTGTATTACTACCCCAAGCTTCCATAAGTGGGTCAAAAATGACCCACATGCGTTTCCTATGGAATCCTATGGGAAAACGTTTTCTTTCAAAATGTAAAAAAATGCCTAAAATTATAAATAGTGAAAAATTAAATATTAAATATTTCTAGCGTGAACCAAAATATAATAACCGAAATGACAAAAATGGCATGAAAACCCATATTATTCTAATAAGGGTCCTTTTTGACCCACTTATGGAAGAGTGTAGGGTCCAGTCACTCGTGCATCTAAGGGTTAATATAGAATCTAATTTGCAGGCTTTTTAGCAAATACCAAAATCTATCAAATTAGCCACTTGGATTATTGTTCATATTTTGCACCTTTCCTGAGATGTTTATGCTCACGATTAGCTGCATTCATTCAACAGCAATAATGAAGAATTCAGGAGTACAATTCAATCATTGATGTACATTTCACTTGTTTTTATTTTCTTGTAAAAATTTCAATTTGTTTGAGGCAATGTTGTGTTATTTCAAGCTCATCATTTACTGTATTAATTCAAGAGCTTGATTTATAATGAATGTGATTACATTTATTCATTTACTTAGCATTTCCAAGAAAGGCTACAAAAAATGAAAAGAATAAGGAGTTGTAGATGTGGAGTAATAATAATAAAAAAAGAGATAAGTTGCATTAAATAGATATACAACGGTCCAGTCAAAATATGAGAGGTCTTAGCTTTTGATTTCATTTTGAAAATCTTCCGCAGAACATCTCAACTTCACTTTCTTCTTGTGTTATTTCTTTAGTCTCCTGTCTATCATTTTCATTTCTTTTGTAAACGCTCTTTTGATTCCCTGATCTTTGTATTTTTATATTTCTATTCACATTATCTGGATCTCTTTTTTGTATTGACATGATAATCTACTGTTTGTAACGCTCAGTATAACCTGCTTCCTGCTTGCTAAAAAAACTCAAACTGGGGGGGTGCTATAAGCATGAGTCATTATCTAATTATTGATTGCTATCTCCTGACACCGGACTCTTTCTGTACCTGTGCATGCCTTAAACTGACAGAATGAGTGTACACAAATACATTTATCAAAGTTGATCTACTGCTGTTGATTATTTGATCATGTTTGCAGGGAATAAATCCCATTAAATACCTATCAGTGTGCAGGCTCGTGAATACATCTGAGGGTAAATATCATTTCTTAATTCGACACTTTTACTGGTGGCAGCGTTGTAAATACTCTAGGGGAGATTTAATTAGCGTTGGTAGTACATTATACAGGTGTCTTTGGTCCAAGGAGCTTGCTCTATAAATCCCAGTCCTGGATGGAAACCAAACATTCATTTACGACTGCCAAACACGCCAGGGGAACAGGGTACTATAGACTCTAGAGGAGTGTTACATTTACAAAGATATGGATATTCTCAAAAAGAAGAAGACATTCTTAAGTCTCAAATATAAGTTAGATATATAGATTATAACGCTAAACATTTGCATAAAGAAAAAAGACATTCCTGATATCAAAATGTACAAGATAAAAAAATAAGGATTTTTCTTTCACTATTGGATTAAATGTATCTTAAAGGGGCCCTATGCTTTTTGGGGTCTACCCTTTCCTTTAGTGTGGGTGGGATACATCGGTTTTTGTGCATGTAAATGGTCTGCAAAGGCTAAATTCCCTGTGTTCCCTCCAGAGGGAGTTGCTCTCCCACACACACGTGCTATGTAACACTCGTGCTTTTATTGGCTATAGCGCTCCAACACATTCTACGTGACAGGCTAAGGGGCGGGACATCTCTAGAACAATCACAACCGAGCCGGCCAGCTAACCAATCAGAGCAGACTGGGCTCTGGTTTCAGACAGAGGGTGAAAAGAGGTGCTGCAGCACAGGCAGTATGAGACAAATAAAGAGCTTTTTGAACATTAAAGCATGGAGACATGTGACAGTAGAGACACTACATACAAATATGAACCTGAAAATTAGCAGAATAGGACCTTTTTTACTACAGCAATGGGATTCAGTATTCACAATGTATTCATAAAACCAGCAGAAACCACTTTTAGTTCTTGTTGACTATTAACAATTATTCCAAGACAGAGATACCTTCCTCCTCCAGGACATCAAGATCAATTGTTGTCCAATTATTATTATTATTAGGGCCCGAGCACGGAGTGCTAGGACCCCAACGGTGTCCTAGCACGAAGTGCGAGGAACCTATTGTTATTGGTGGAATTCTTCTTCTTCTTATTATAGTGCTGGCGTTTCCTGTTTTTGAGGGCTTTAGAACGCTCACAAAGTTGTATAATTTTGCACGGATGCCATGACCCGTGAAAAATTCAACATTCTGGAGTCAATGGGTTCAAATTGTCCAAGGTGCTCGCTAGCGCCACCTATGAAAAACCCATTTCGGAATAAATTTAAAAGTCGCACCGTAACTCCGAATGACCTGAAATTTTGCACACATATCCGGGTGGACCTGTTCTACAAATAATCCTCTTGGACCCCTAAGCTCCGCCTACTTTTATTTTTTTCTAATTAGCATAATGTTCAAAACAGTGACATATTCACTTAAATTTCAATTTTCTATTTTTGAACACCAAACTTCGTATACAGCATCGGCGGAGGGTTATACACATTAACGTAGAAAATGAGCATGTTAACACGATAAATATTGCCGCCATGAATCAAAACGTACTAGCAAAAATGCGGGGCTTAGAAATAAATGCTCATAACTCATCAACAATGTATCCATATATCACAGATTTTGGTGGATAGGTTCAGTCCGTCTTGGAGAATAGGCACACCAAAGCATTTTCATTTTGGACTATAGGGGGCGCCAAAAACACCACCAATTTATAACTCAAGAACGGATGGACGAATTTCTTTTTTTTTTTTCTTTCTTTACACCATACTACTCGCTGGCTATAACGGACTAAATAGTGAGATTTAAAGTGTCGCACAAACGCCAGAATGTTGGGGCGGTGGCCCCTATACTACATATTTCTTTAAAAATTGCTGATAGCATAAAATGAGCTTTCGGACGCAAAAACTTTGGGAACAACACGTCAGAGTCCACCGACTTTTACGACAATGTAAAAAAAAAAAAAAAACGTTTTAATTTTTCTAAAAAAAAAACTGCTCACTAAGCGCCCACTAATAAAAGTGCTATGCAATGTAGCCTTCACAGTATGTTATTGCCTGTACTCACTGCTAAACTTTTGACAAAAATTTACTACATTGAATTAAACGGACATATATTCTATTGGCTCCATTAGCACCGGCCCGCGAAAGTCGGCCAATAATTTGATAAAAATGTGCGTTTTTCATGCATTTTAAGGAGCATCTTGGGAACTCCTCGCTAGGGAAATGATCGGAAAAGACTCGGCAGTCCAGGAGCAAGTTCAGCCCATATGCCAATGTATGCTAAATTGGCGAAGGAAATAGTTGATCGCCAACGAGGAGGGGCTCGTAAGCAACGGATAATTTTCCATTGTTTGACCCATTCTACATGTCACAATGACTCCAAACAACTCCCAACTACTCGCATACCAGTAATTCCAATATTCAGCGACGCTGATCTCTGCCTCAACNACCTAAACAATAAGTGTCGCTATGCAACTGGGTGAGGCCACAAAGTATAGCGCAGCATTATGCATTTGTTTACATGCCCACCGGAACCCCGAGGCATTACCAACAGATCAACGCACAATCAACCCATACAGGACATCTCTTTCTCCACATTAAGTGTTAGACATTAGAATTGACTATTCTTGTCTGTCACATACTCTTCTTGTCTGTCACATGAAGCGGTATTGCGCTAATAGGGAAATTATTTTGACCGAAGAGATTTAGATTTGCTTGCTAACGGGAACTCTGACGTCGCCATTGTGTGTGCTTCGCGGATGCACTCGGCTGCTCGGGTCTGCTCGGTCAGCTTCCGGATGAGGAGGCATTCGTTCGACCAACTTACAGTAGATAACATTACAAACATTTTTAACAGGGGCCATAATAGTGTAAATAATGTTTGTTTTGGCAGTTACAACTGAATGTAATGTTTTCTACTTTTTTACATCTGGGAAGGCATTTGCCTTCATCAGATGGAAAGTGTCTTGACCAACAACTTCAGTATTTCTTATAGCTATGCAGGGCATGCAAGCGAGCAAACACAAACAAGAACAAACAAACAAGTGAAATGAAGAATAAAATTGAAATTGTCAAATATAATATTGTGGTGGTTCATCTTATAATTCAGTCTATAGAATGCACCAGACAGCATCTAAGACCTGCAAAAATCTAAATTTTCTAGGGGGAGGCCCCCCAAACCCTTCGTGCCATTTCGTCCGCGCGCATTTTACAGGGCAATCTCTATTGGGCTCAGGGCCATCTGTAAATTAGCTTAGATGGCCCACAGGGCATGCACTGGACACTATACACACAATACATCTCTGTGAAAACTGGACTTGACACATGTTTAGCAGGAAATTGGGTTTTCTTACAGTTATTCTCTTTTTGGAAAGAGACCGTTTTAGCTGCTGATGGTGAATAAGTCCAGTCTATTGACTCAAGCTATTAATGGTGTATTGTTTATTATTTTGCAGGACAATATTCAAAATGCGTCATGAAGTCCACATTACTAGGCCTGCTCCTTTACAGTAGCACTTTGAGCTGTCTGAATGACCAGCAGTTGTTTGTCAGAGTTCGGTGTCAGACTCAGTCAAAAATGTGGAGTGGAGGTGTTGGAAGAAACTGAGCAAATCTGTGCAGCCACTGTTCAAATCACCACAGTCCTTCCTTTAAAGCTGATCGGTGCACTTTAAAGATGTGGTACACAGACACGGAGGAACTTAAAAACGGGATGAATGTGGAGAACTCATTTATAGC